CTATTGGAAGGTTATTCCAAAGGGGGCTGACACTTCAGCCTACTGAAGAGAGGACAAAGAGAGAGAACTACAAGACTTAAGAACTCTTAATGTGAATTTACAGCAATGGGAAAAGTATGCCCTTGTCAAGAAGAGATGATGAGAGCAGCCCGATGAGCTAAAGAGGCAGAAAGTGAGTGGAAGAATCCAGTGCTGCCAGATCTTTTAAACAAGACTTCCATGTTTGTAAGAGATCTCTAAATAATAATTGAATATTACGCAAGCCTGTATGCACCTTCTTCACCAAGCAAGCTGGGAGCTCTACAACAGGTAGCCCTTTCTTAGCATCTCTCTTAGTACCAGTTTTTTTCTCAAAAATTCAAAAGAAATCTGACTTCTAATCATTTGGCTTTTGAAATTTGTGTTTGATACAATCATGTCCAAAAGACATAGGTGCAATTAAAACCATACTTGAGTCAATGATAAGAGCATCTACGAACTCCATTGGAGCCAAGGTTTCATCTTTCCTATTTTCAGAATAAATTTGGAGCAGTGGAGCTGATTCAGAAGCACTGGAAGTTGGTTCTGCCTCTTAATTAAACCGTGAGTGCAGCTTGTGCACGGGTGATAAGCTTCCATTCGCTGTGCTAGCCAGGCTCTGTCTGAGCTCCAGGACCTTCCTCACTTCTTTCTGTTACCTTTCTGCAGTTCTGCACTAGTTGTTACATGTGCTCTCTGGGAACTGTGCAAATGCTTAGATTCCTGGCTCAGATTGTCCCTGGTTATTCCCATACATCTGTAATAATAATAAAAAAAACTTAGTTGCGCACATATCTTCTGCAAATATACCCTATTTTAATTAAAAGCAGGGCAGGTCTATTGTCAAGTCTCTTAGTGAGGACACATTTTTCCTTTCTTCAGATCAGCTGCTGAGCAGTGCACTTGCATTCATTTTCTGGAAAATAAATTTAAAAAAAAAGGGTCTAAAATGATTGCTTTGAGGTGGGAAAATAGTGATGACAGTATTAAAAGGGATGTGGCACTGGTAGGTTTTGAAGACTAAGTACAGCTTGACCAAAGTCTCCACAGTGATTTAAGAAGTGATTTCACGTTGATTCTTGAGCTTAGCTTACTTTGTTAGCATCTCTCTGTTGATTTCATTGGAGTTTTACTAAAACAGACCTTTGTGAAGGAGAGGATGGACATGGTAAACGGATTATTTTCTTGAGAAATCCTCACCTCCTGAGAAGCTGTGTGTGCTCCTAGCGTCCCGGCCTGCTACGGGCAGCTCGGACACAGCCACAGCTCTGTATGAGAATGGGGCTCTTCCTAGAAAAGCTGCTGTCGTGTGGATTCTGTCCTCAGATGGGTGGCGTTAGCCTCCCGGGCCTTTCTATTCCTTCCTCCTCCTCCTGGTAGGATCTCTGGTTTGGAGTAGCCCCACTGATGATCTGTTCAGTCCCTGGCTTTTTACGGGATGGCTTTGATGCTGTCCAGGGCATTTCCTGGTTTTGTGGATGTGCCTCTGTGAGCAGAAGAGGATGCTGCAAGATGACTTCAGTGTGAGGGCAACGTTTGTTCTTTACACTGTCCCTGCTCTGCAGAGTGGGCTTCCCTGAGAAACAATGAGTTTCTTTAATGACATTCCTTCCAGGAAGGAAGGAATCTGGTCCCTCAGGCTGTTTCTCCACCTCTTGGGAACATTGCAACTAGCTATTCTTTGAACCGTGGTAGGAAACAAAATAGGAGAAAGTCACTTTTCTGACTCCTCTATTATTTCTACTCGAACTAAAAGCTGTCTGTCTTCAAAACCATTAATGGCAGTACAGTTTTACCAACTCCCATCTCCTGTATAAGGCAGCTGCCTTTCCATTCGTTTCTCCCTGGCTGTAAACCCGGGTGTGTGGCCATATGAACAGAAGCCAGTTCTGGGGACAGGCTTTTCACACTGGCATTACAGCGATAAGGAGAAGGTATTCCCACCCTTTGACATGGTTGCTGGGGAGGAACACTGAGGCTTTTGCCTCTTTAAAGTGACGATTTACATTTCCATGATATTCCTTACTTTTCAGTCTAATAGAGTTCTGCAGTGTTACCCATCAATATGTGATATAATATCAAAGGAGGATGGTAGTAGTAAAGAAGATGAGCTGATGGTTGGAAGGTACGTACTTCCATGAGAATGAAATGGAGTAGAGCAAAATAATAAATAAATAAAAGCAAGGACAAGGTATCTTCAGGGCCTGTAATTCCTGCAGGGAGGCGGTAGGTGAGAGAGCTCCTCGGCCACATGGACCCTCAAATGCTGCTCCCAGTGAAGGTTTGGCCCTCCTCTTGTAGCCACCTCACAAAGGAGCTGGTTCAGAGGGTATTACTTGCCACAGTGTGAAATGATAATGCCAGCGAAGGTAAATTTAGATGTCTTACCTCATAATTTTAGTGGGC